ATGTATGTGAGAATTCAGGTAATCTTCGCATTTTCTCGATTATTTTACAGTATTCTGGTGTACATCGCTACATTATTGAATAAAACATGATTATACTTAAGATGATGCAGCGGCTAGAGGGCCAACCGAGCTCGAGATACACGCGCAAACGTACGTATAGAGGACTGCGGGCGGGGCACGATATGTGCATTGAGAGAATAATTGCCGGTCGGTGGCAGCGTCCGCGCACACACACGACCAACGGACCTTGTCGCATGTGCAGTGTCTGCCTGGGTAGAGCATGCAAAGTGGATGAGGGCACTGCGACAGTCAAAAGAGTGATGATGGCCGCTTACTGCGTACATTAAACGTCGAGCACGATAAGGGCCACAGACTGCGCCTGGCAGTACTGTACGAGTCAAGAGGCAGCTTAGATTGTGAAGAGAGGAGGCATGAACGACGAGGTACGAGCGTAGGCAGCCTTTGCTGGCCATCCTCTCTGCACCCTGACTGGTCTGCATGAAGAAGACCTCCCGCTAGCCTGGAGCATGCGACGTTCAGTCTCAGAGACCCGTGCAGACCGCGGTCAGTATAGAATGAAGTCTAGATGGGCAGCACGGAGGTGATGAAGAATCTGGTGGACGTCTGATGCGGCATCGATACTCACGGGAACCCTCTCCAGTAGTCTTCTTTGATAGAACTCGTCCATGAAATGGAACATGTGGGAATGCGGAAAACGGTCTGGCCACTTTGATGGACAGACAACCGATACTGGCCTTGTGCATAGTTGCAGTAAGCAGAGTGCGCTTATCTCGGTGTACCGGTGTCATAGCCCATGAGCCCAGCACAAACACAACTCATCCATGACAGCAGTAAGCCGCAGTATTCCATTCAAACTGAGCACTCTCTCTGTCAATGGGATCGTCGCGGCGATGTCGAGACTCTTGATACACGGCAAATGTATCTCGAGGGCACAATGATATGCGACGGAGATGATATTATGAACATGAGCTCACCATTATCAAAAGAAATGCACCCTTGAACTCTGCTGGGCTTCTGCTCCTCCCACGAGATTGAAACCTCGCGCGGATCGTCCTCTCTAAGCTTGACTGTCCGCTTCTTGCTCGGCCAGAATGCGACGCGATTGCCACTGACTCGGAGTCAGCCTCATGGCAAGGC